ACTGTGACCCCCCCAACACTCACTGTTGGCGCCCCCTTAATGCGTCTAGTGAAATACGAACACTCGGTCCAACCTGCCGATTCACGCAGCTCGCCGCACCGTCCTCAATGTTCATGTCCTCAATTGCGTAATCTCGTCAACGAGGCTCCACGCCTCGGCGGTTTGAACGGGCGCTACGGCGAGTTCGGTCTGAAGGGCAAGACCCAATTAGTTGGGGGCTCTATCATCCCCCCCGATGCGCCAATTTCGTGGGACTGTAGTGTGAGCGTGGCTAGAAGGGAATCTTGTTCATTCAACGGCACTTCGGCTCTGCTTCGCGTCTGGCTTTGACATAACGACGACGTCGTGCGTCTCTTGCTTGAGAATTGCTGCGTTTGGCCTGAACTGTCATGGCATTGGCGGGTGGGATGATGTAAATTCCGATTTTCATTCAAAATTAACACGTCATGTAATTAATTTCACACCTGATGGCTCTCCAGAACACAAATTATTTTGTTTACAAGCAAATTAAAAGTGAAAAATCCCCCCCCCCCCCCCCCCCCCCCCGGTTCCTTTCTTGCAGGTTTGTCCCATACGCCGCGCTCTGAAAAGTCCGAGATTTCATTCAGCATGAGCGACCCAACCTCGTACGAGAAGTACGTGGATAGCATTGGCAAGTTCCTCAAGCTCTACGACGACGATCGCCAAACTGACCTGATGAAATATGAAGACTGCGGAGGCAAGTTTTTTTTATTTTTTTTTTTTACTACAGTATTGATACACCAAACCCCAAATCGCAACACATTCACCATCCCTTTGTTTTGGTTCCATAAATATAACATACGTACATTTGTCTGCATAATCCAACATGGCATAACCTCTGCATTGCGATACTTAGAGGATTGCGGTATTTTTCATTTCAAGCTAAACGTACACGTAACTGGAAAGACATTTCAATAGGCAAGATAGAAGTGAATTTTTCTGGTTTGGACCGCATTTAGGATATTTAATGATTTGATACAGTAATCCGAATGAGCCACGCTCTGAAGAGCAAAAACAAATGTTTCAATGCCTATCCAAACTCACGTATTGTGTGGAGGTACGTTACCGTCACCGACGGATATATGGCTCAAGGACGATTTTCGATGGGTAGCCGTGGAAAGGCGCTTTCGCAATCAGCACAGTGTTTGAGTGGAAGATAAAGATTGGGCAGTCGACTCTGTCGATGATGACGAAGAGAAAATGCCAACACGGAAGTTGGTCAAGTTTGGGCAACGTCCATTCACATAGAGTAACTTATATGTGGGATGTAAACACAGTATGTGTTGTGGTGGGCCAGTGGTGTTCAAACTGTGGCCCAGGGGCCATTTGTGATCCCCCGTCAATTTTTACCGGCCCGCAACTTATACTAAAAACGTAATAATAGTTCATAATTCATTTTTACAACAAAACTGGTTTCCGTCCAATTTTTGTTTTGTGTCAAGGTCCAAAATGTGAACATATCACACGAATGATTCCCAATTAAGTGTTTTGAAAACGGTCGGGGGGGAGAGAACAGCTCGTACCTCTGATATAAAGTTGTAGTGGTTATGAAACGGTGACTTCTTAAAACCCCGGAATAGCTTGAAGCTGGGAAGCCGTCCGTGCCATTAATATGCTAACCTGTCACCGCACAGACTCTCCGCAGCCGTACCGCGAACGCGACAGCCTGGAGAGCGACCAGGGCCAGCGCAAGGCCTGCAGCTATAAGAGGTCATGGCTGGGAGACTGCTCGGGCAAGACCGACACCACCTACGGCTTCCAGAAGGGATCCCCTTGCATCATCGTCAAACTCAACAGGATTGTCAATTTCAGGCCCAGGGTGGGTGAGGCTTAGGGGAGGTGTTGGGGGCGGGGGGGTCACACAGAATGACCGCTCGTGTATGATACACTCACAATGGCTGCTCAGGTGACCTCCTCAAACATTGGCTAACAATTTATGACTGTGCCTTGATTTGACATGTCCTCACCTTGCACTGATATAATCGGCAGACGCCAAACGGCCTCCTCAGTGTCGGCCATTTTGTTTTTGGACCAGTGTGTAGCGAGCATCTCCTGACCGACTGCCATTTTGTTTGTACGTTTGCAGGCTCCCGACGTGAATGCCTTGCCCGGGCCTCTTCAGAGCCGAGTACAGCCCAACTCTGTGCCCATTTTCTGTAAGAACAAGGTGAGTCGAACACAGTAAACTGCAAGAGCTCTCGGCCCACTCGTGATGAAAACTTCTCCAAATAAAACAAGGTCAACACTAATTACCACCTCATGCAGAAATACTTGACAAGTAGCACCATAACGATCGGCATTAGACCAAGTGTTCATCAAAAACGAGTCAGGTTTTACATCTAAAATTTTTGAATTCATATTTTATGCTCGGTTGGAATATTAACATTGCACTACAATATTTAACTGTACTAAATTCAAAATAAGTTCAAGCCACTGTATGATTATGCACAGTTTGTACATTTCATTCCATTCATCTTTGGAATACCACAGGGGCCAGTACTTGGACCACACAAATTGAGAATCACTGTCTCAGAGAGAATTTTGTGCCGTCCATCCTTGCACTTTAAATGTAAAAAAAGACACATTTCGAAGTACTCCTTAGCACCCGTTGGAGGCTATCGTTAAAATATCCCTTTTAGGAAACAAAAAGAAAAATGTTATTTGTCACTCCCTGTTAAATAAAGTTTACAGTAAAACTGACCCATAAAACACGAGACTGACACATTGTATACTCAAAATGAAAATGCCAACCAAAACCCACATCACCGAATCTAACGAACATCTGCTTAGTGCGAACATATAATGCAAAACGCACAGGGTGGGCTAAAGAAAATCCGCTTCGCAACAAACACGAACAAACTCACTCCACTCAGTGGGGACGATGACTATGTCTGGAGCTGAGAACCTCCTCCGCCTGTTCCACTTCCTCTTAATCGAACCGCATGGAAATCCGGTCGCGCTCGGCGCCGCGCGGCATGTGGGCGACACGCGGACGGTGCACGCACGACTCTCAGGGACCTCCGAATCATCCCGCTCTCGTGTTGTGTTTTGACAGCGCGACGTGGACGCGGACAAGATCGGCGAGATCAACTACTTCGGCTTCGACGGCAGCTTCCCGCTGCAGTACTACCCGTACTACGGCCGCCTGCTGCACCCCAACTACCTTCAGCCGCTGGTGGCCATCCAGTTCACCAACGTCACGTTGGGCACGGAGGTGCGCATCGAGTGCAAGGCGTACGGCGCCAACATCGATTACAGCGACAAGGACCGCTATCAGGGACGATTCGATGTCAAGTTGACCATCAACTCGTGACCTCTTCGGTCGGTTCGTCAGTCGGCGCGCACTCCTCACCACCACCACCCCCCTCACCTCCACCAGTTTTTCTTTTGAAAAGCAACCCCACCCCCTCCCAAAAAAAAAAAAAAAAAAAAAAAGATCGAGTGCAAGGCGTACGGCGCCAACATCGATTACAGCGACAAGGACCGCTATCAGGGACGATTCGATGTCAAGTTGACCATCAACTCGTGACCTCTTCGGTCGGTTCGTCAGTCGGCGCGCACTCCTCACCACCACCACCCCCCTCACCTCCACCAGTTTTTCTTTTGAAAAGCAACCCCACCCCCTCCCAAAAAAAAAAAAAAAAAAACACGAAAGCCCAATGGGGAGGAAAAAGGAAA